TGCTGTTAGAACATGCATAATAATGAGTTATTTGCTTGTTTTGTGATATTTTTCCCAGAGAATATTCCCCCTTGCATGTTTGGTGAAATTATAAGAGGATTATTCATTTCGAATTGCACGAATAAAGAAATGCTGAATTTACACGGATGCAACCAATAACGTTCGGATTAATGCTTGAATTTAGACGATCGTGAACATTATATTACATTTTCAGTCAGCCGCTCTTGGGATTTTACGTTTTAAAATGCAATAAACTCACATTTCAGCCAATATCCTTGACACCTTAATATATCTAAATATGTAACGCGATTTGAAATGCACGCGTATTTCGTCTAATATTTCTATTAGAATTCGTTGAAAAATTTATACACTTTCAAATAATTAGTCGGAATAATTACATTTCATTCGATTTTAAATTGCAATTAAATTAACGAAGAGGAGCAAGAAACTCATTTGCTTTTCTCTCTTTAATTCACGCAACTTCATGATTAATTAGTTCTCCACATTCAGAAATATTAACGCGTTAAAACGAAACGCTTGAACCGAAATCGAATTACAAATGGCAGAGTTAAGTCAAACATCGCGAAATATCAGCGAAAGATTCACACGCCGGAGCATCGCTCAGGGGGGAAATCCCTATTTCTGTATTTTCACGTAGAATTCGACACGTAGAACGCGTTATCATCGTTGGACGATAAAGCGGAAAGAGGGAACGTTTCTTACGTTATTTTCTCGTCAGCTTGTTTTTTAAAATAAGTCGTTCGCAAACGCTCTGACGCGAAAATAGCGTATTACGCGTGCCACCCTCTAGTCTCGCAGATATAGTTTCACTATTTCCGCGGGGAAACGTAGTTTATGTATCGCATCGTCGTATTACGTTATGTAAATTTTCCCACTACAGATTTCGCATAAATTTCATCGAAATCTCTTTTCACAAAACATTCGTTCGCCAAGCGTGTCACGTACTATAGTTTTCGAACTTAATCGCGAACTTTTCAACTTGAAGAATATTTGTTGCCATACATCTGTCCACAATTATCCACCATTTTTCTAATATTTTCATTTTTTTTTTTTTTTACGAACATCTAACATTTTTGTGTAAAATCCCGTATCAGAAGGTATCAGAAGGTATGGAATCTTTTTTTTACTGCCGCGGAGGTAGAAAACGATGCAAAATCGCGCGTTACGTAATAAATATAAAAATAGGTGGAATTTATATCACAATCCGATATTACACAGCACCCACAATGCTGCGGTTAGTTTCTGGCTTTTCCATGGTAGAAGCGATAAAAATTGTTTTATTTTCTGATACAAAATTCTGATTGAAATTTCACAGGAAAAAAAGAGCGGAACTCGTAGATTACAGCAAAGTTTTATCAAAATGATTGATATCCAAACGTGGCTTCTGAAATAATACGTATATGGAACATTTGCAGATGCAAAATTTTATCGAAAGATTATGTATATGTATATCAGGCGTCAAGTCGTGAAGAAGATATTTGTACCAATAATTACTTTCAAAATTGAACAATTAATAATAAAATCACATTTCTAAGATAACACTGAAATTTAGTTTATAAAAACTGATAATGAAACGAAATGTAAAAATACTCGTGAACCTATCGTCACAAAAATTTCATAAACGTACTGGTACACGAAAATATTCAACTGTTTGACGTATGTTTAAAATTAATATAAAACATTAAAAACATCTAATAAGTATATTAATATTAATTTGAAGTATGTGTTAAGTTTAAGTACAGATGATTTTCAAATTAAATATTGAAACTTGTTATCTAAGTTCATCGACATTTTTTTGCCATTTCTGTGAAATTATTGATTCAGGGGGTATTTTAACTTTTGTAAAATTTGTCGTACGAAACACAAGGGAAGACAGAAATTTATATCGTCCTTGTTTTTCAAGTGTCTGATAATTTTTCAATGGTACATAGGTTAATAAAGAACGTCATGATTGGAGTGGAAATGTCCTTGAAATCTCTGAAATCCCACCAACCACAAAAACCGATTATTTCCACCGCAGTACACAGCGCCTTCGACACAACTTTCGTTAATAAAGTTTTTCGAAAATTCTTCAGGAACAACTTGAAAGAATGTTCAGGCGCATGAATTTCCATTGGACCAACCTGTAAAAACTACAAACTCACTTTCGAGAGCAGCTACAAGTCACGCGAGAGAAAGAATTCACTTTCGGGAGAGTGACATCCGTGTTTCGTGCCACGGATTCACAGGGCACGTAGAAAAATCGAAGCGGGCAACAAGAATCAACGCAATCAGAATGCCGACGCTCGGCTAATTCGCGTTTCGTGACTCGTTTTTCCATGAATCAGACGGACGGAACATCGAGACG